AGGGCCTAGAGCAGAGGCTCTGGTTGACATAGACTGAGTTGCCAATGACAAAAGTATTGTGGCCTCCCAGACTTCTCACTCCCTGTCTGATCAGGGCTGTCTTGAAGCCCTGAACCTGGGCATTACCCACTCAGGGAGGATAATTCTCTGCACAGCCTGGCCTGGCCCAGGAAAAACCACAGCACCTGGCTTCAGAAGGGTTGGACAACTGCAGCTTGGGAAGTCATTTCACTGGCTGTGAGGAGACACTCAAGGACCCACACAAATCATTTCGAAAACCTGTCCTTTGAAGAGTTAGTGATGGCTTCCCAGCGCCATTCTGCTGCAATAAAATGTCTTGCTGGGCCTAGAGCTTATGGTTCTGCCTCAAAGGGGTGGCATTCTGGGGCACCATGTTAAAAGGCCCACCCCTTCAAGCTGTGGAATAATTAGCCAGGGAAGCTCCCATGGGCCTAGCATAGAAAGGCTTTTCTGCCTTCTTTTCTACTTTCTCAAAAAGCTTATGAGCCAAACAGTACAAGTATCATTTGTTCCATTAGACAGAAGAGGAAACTGAGGTTCCAAGAGGGGAGATGGGTTCCTCACAGGGCACTGTCTTCTAGTCCCAACGTGAGTAGCTACATCTTCTTTTCTTCTGTATCCACTCCACTCTCCTGATTGCCTCATGATGAAAGCAACAAGAACAACCGGCCTATCATCCAGCAGATGGAGAGCAAAAGAGAGAAGAGCCAGTAGGAATAGATACAAATGTCCTACCCCCACCCCCAAAGAGACAAAAAGCACTAATGAGAGAAATTGCAGTTCAAACAACCTGGAAGCTTCACCTTTTGCTTCAGGGCTCTCATTGCCAGAGGGAGTTACCCTGCTCAGCTCAGACTATGACCCCTGGTTTGAGCTTATTTGGCCAGGGAGGGTACCTCAACTGTCCTGGACATAATCCCAGGCCATTCTCCCCCAGCTGGTACAAAGTCTTGCTGTGGTGGGCAAACTGGTCCTGGCCTCAAATAAGAGAGATGGCAGAAACGATCCTCTTCAGAGGGGCCATGAGAAGAGAGAAGCATAGGCACACTGTGGGTGAAGCCAGGCTCTGGTCCCTCCATTTTCAAAAGCAATTGGAAAATGCTGTTCATATATATGCCTCTTGATGCTGGGATATCACTTTGATCCCCAGGAGGTCAGAGACATAGTAAAGAATTTTAATTCTAATACACAGCAGTACTTTTCTGCTAAAAACAACAACAACAAAAAATGGAAACCAAAGGAATGCCCACTGATTTAGGAATGTCTGAGCAAGCTATAATCTATAAATTGACTAGACTACATTATGCCCTAAATATGAAGAACATGGAGAAATCTAAGAAGACTTTTACAGATACATAGCAAAGAAAGGAGAACCAAGAGAAGAGTACACAAAAAGAAAACAATGTGAAACATGATAGGAAGAAAGACCAAAGGAGAGACCAATCCGTGCTCTGAAGTACTGTTGGTGAAACATTCCTCTCCCTTCTGGAAAAGAGTGGGGGCTGTGGCTGTGGAATGAGGCATACACTGTGGGTCTCTGAGCAGCTACAAGTGTGCTCTGCTTTGGCAGGCACCGAGGATGAGAAGGAACAACATGGACAGCATAAAATCACCCACAAAAGTGGTTTCTAGTGATGTGTGCCTGCCCAGCAAACCACTGCTTCTTAGAGAGATAAGAAAGAGAACAAAAGTGTCCTTGGTTGTGAAAACCACGTGGCTCCATGGCGCTCACTTTCATTCCCACTGTGGGAGACATGGTTCTGCTTGCTTCAGTCTGTGACTCCTACAAGTCTTCTCATGGTCCTCCCATTCTTCCTAGCTGTCATTTTTAAAAGAATACTAAAGGCTAGAGGGGTGCCATGGTACACACAGTGCCTAGCCTGGAGTCAGGAAGACTCATTTTGCTGAGTTCAAAACTGGTCTCAGACACCATGGAAAATGACTCAACAACAATAAAGAATAATAACATTCACTTCCATTAGGGTACCACAATTTCATAAGACATTTTTAAGAAGATTACTTACATAACCCTGAAATGTTAGGCCAGCTTCAAACCAGCTCAACAGCTCTTCTCCAAAAGACTGATAGGAATAAGGACATGCATGACAGTCCCACCTGTGCCACAGGAGGGAGACCTGACATCCTAGAGGGTAAGAGTCCTCAGAAGTCAATAAGGTGATGGGTCAGACAGGGTGAGTACTGGAATGCTACACTGGTCTCTTATGACCATATGTCCAATGTGAGGTTCTGTATTTAGGGCACCATCTAATGAAGACGGGCACCTGTAACTCTACAACAGAGCAAAGGCTGAAAACGAACTTGTCCAAATGGGAATCTTCAAGAGAAACAATGTAATCCAATGACAATTAACAAGTATTTAGCACCTACTATGTGTTAGGCATGATACTGGGAATAACTCTAACACTGCCTTCCCTGGAGCTTGCATTCCAGTGGGGGAGAGGAGATTGTATGTACATATGTTATACCGAGAAATGAGCGAGTTGACCACCCAAGCTAATTTTAAATTGTGGACTTTATTAGCGCGTGGCTGCCAGGGATATTCACATCCAAATCAAGCAGCCCCCATCAGGGGTTGAGCTAGGGTTTATATAGGGAGTATACAGGACAGGGAGGGGGATGGATCTTTGAAGTCTGGCTGGTCAAGGACACCCTTCTCCCTCTGTGTAGATATGATAATGCTCTGCAAACTTTCCTGAGCAGCCAGATGAGGGTCTTGCTAAGGAATTTGGAGTTTTCCAGAGATATGATCTGAGGGCTAGGACCTGAGCAGCCAGATAAGGATCTTGCTGAGGCCCATGCATGAATACTGCTAGGCACAGCGTCCTTGGGCTGGAGAGTGGTTGATAGAGATAGTGTTTCTGAGACTAGGGAGGCATTTTGGGGCAAAAGTATAAGCACAAGCACCCGAGCACCCCATCATTACAGGTCAGGGATCACACAAACCAGACCAGGTGTCCTGGTTTCTGGTATAAACATAATTATCTAAAGCCATTGTATTGCAAGTTTTCTTATCCATTTGCTTTGGAGGTATGGGCTGTGCTTAAGCCATGCAGGAGTACATTTCACTATTGTTTAGATTTAGGAGGAAAGGGGTCTGGGGCAAGATTAAGCAGCAACTTCTGCTTTCCATTGCCTAAAGGGCCCTACTACCTAAATGGTAAAACAATGTTCTGCATTACACATAAGTATGCATGGATGTCCTACACGTGTACGTTGGTCTACATAGGATAAAAATTACATATAAGAGAATGGGAACCACAGCATAAGCAGCTAAGGGGCAGGGCATAATCAGGCAAGGCTTCTCATAGAGGCCTCTGTGGGAATTTTGAAGAAAGCTTGGGATTCCAAGAGGTAGAGGAAAGGAAGAATATTCCAGACATGAGGGATGAACAGTCTAAAGAAACAGACACAAGAGGTGGCCTGCTATGGTAAAAGAATAGTAAAGATGCCTGTCAGGAAGGAGGGTAGCATGGTGGAAGAGGAATGATGCAAAATGAGGCTGGGAGGAGGGTTGGTTAGGTCAGGCTGTGAAGAGCCCTCAAAGCCACATGGAAGATTTATAAAAGATCAGAAAGTTCACAGGGAGTCATGGAATTTCTTGAGGAGTGACATGGGCAAATGTCACTTTAGGAAGTTCTCTTTGGCAGCTGTGCCTCCAGGGGATAGACTGGAGGGAGGAAGCCAAGCAGGAAACTTTTACAATAGCTCAAGTGAGAAGAGATAAAGATCTGAACTAGGATGATGGCTGTGTGAGAATTCAAAGGAAAAAAAGATGAGAGATGAAGATAGCGAAAGCCTAAGATTTGGCAGCGGATTGGGTAAATCAGTAGAGGGAGAGTGAGGAAGTGAGGATCAGTCCATCCGCAGGCATTTGTTATTGGCTGAGGAGAGAAAGAGAGAGTGACAGAGTGGGGGGGCACAGGGCAGAGCCTTGGCACTCTGAGGTGGGGACAAGCAAGCAAATGAGGCTGAGAAGTAGCTCGACAAGCAGAAGAACAAGGAGAGAAGGCCCAGGAGGAAGGTGCAGATGGGGCTGACAGTGTGAGTGACAATCAGGACTGAGAAAGGGCTGGCTCCCATGCAGCCCTAGGTTACAGATGAGTGAAAGAAAGACTGCAGAGGCGTGGCCCATGCCGGAGATAAGAGATGTAGGTAATGAGTAGCAAGAACCTTTCTGGGGGTTGGCAGTGAGAGAGAGGAGAGACATAGGAAGACAGTCTCTGGAGAGATGGTAAGATCAAATGAAAAGAGGGGGGCATATCTGTGCAAAGCAAAGAAGTGATGAGTGTCTAGGGAAAGACTGAAGAAAGCAGGGCCAGGGCAGAGATAACTGAGGGAACAAAATGCTGCAGGAGACAGGAAAGAAAGAGAGCAACAGTTGGTCTGCTGAGAAGAGTTGCCTCTCATCAGAGTCTGGGGGAAAAAAGGAAAGAATGGGTGATAGTGTCAAAGGGCTCAAGACATGGAGAAGGGGAGGAATGAGAGTGATGGAGAACAGCCTCAGCCAAGAGGGGAGGGAAGGGTTACAAGAGGCCATGCTCTTAAAAGTTTGTGAAACCTACCACTGATCCAATCACTTATTACAGATTAGAGCTCGGTCAGGCTAAAAAACTCTACCCTAACCTTCAGCCTTTAGAATGAAGGTCCACTCTGTTTCTATGTGGAAATCAATCAACATTTAAAAAGCACTTAATAGGTGCCAAGCCCTGGGAAAAGCACTGGGGATACAAAAGGCAAGAAAGTCCCTGCCCCCAATGAGCTTACAATCTAACAGGAGAGAAAAATGCAAATAACAATGACCCACTTAGAAAACAACCTTCTTCAAAACAAGGCCTAGCAATACTTTGCCATTCTTTATCCAATTCAAGAGCCACATTTCATTTATAGCTCAATCTAAAGACTGGAATATAAGAACAGCTAAGAAAGCCTTAGAGCTCCCATTATCTCCATTCAAGAGCTTTGGCCTTTTCATGCAACTGGCTCAAATACTGATGGGGGCAAGGGTCTGATGACCTCCTCCACTGCATGACACTGAAATACCCACCTTTCATTCTGGGTATGGTTCATGTCAGATCTCAGAAGACATATTAGGTTCATCCCTTCTGAATGCTCTGCTTCACACCATTCCTGAAGCTTTTCCAGCTCCCCATGAGTCTCTGTCACTTCATTAATTAAGGACAATACTTTTTCTTTCAATTCTTGGCAAGGAGACATAAAAACAACAGATACTATAGTAATCTATTATTTGATAAACCCAAAGACCCCAGCTTCTGGGATAAGAACCCACTCTTGGACAAAAACTGCTGGGAAAACTGGAAAAGACTATGGCAGAAACTAGGCATAGAGCAAAATCTCACACCATATGCCAAAATAAACTCAAAATGGGTTCATGATTTAGATATAAAGGCTGATACTGTAAGCAACTAGGAGAGCAACACAATAGTTTACCTGTCAGATTTATGGAGAACAGAAGAACTCATGACCAAACAGGAGATAGAGAACATTATAAAATGCAAAATGGATAACTTTGATTACATTTAATTGAAAAGTTTTGCCCAAACAAAGCCAATGCAACCAAGATTAGAAGCAAAGTAGAAAACTGGGAAAGAATTTTTACAACCAGTGTCTCTGCTAAGGGGCTCATTTCTAAAAAATATAGAGAATTAAGTCAAATTTATAAGAATATTAAGTTATTCCCAATTGATAAATGGTCAAAGGATATGAAAAGGCAGTTGCCAGATGAAGAAATTAAAGCCATCTATAGTAATATGAAAAAATGCTCTAAATCACTATTGATTAAAGAAATGCAAATCAAAACTCTGAGGTATTACATCACATCTATCAAATTGGCTAACATGACAAAACACGCAAATGGCAAACGTTGGAGAAAATGTGTGAAAACTGCAACATTAATGCATTGTTGAGTCTTGCAAACTGCTTTATTTTCTGATGAGGTTGAATTCTTCACCTCCCTGGAGAATACAACTGGAAGGTAAAAATTGTTACTCCATCCTGTTTCAAGTCACTGAGTACACAGGAATGATTTGTATTAAGTATTTCTTCCATGCGTAGGCAAGCAATAAATAGCAGTGCCATTCCTGATTCAAATTGACCCTCAGGTACCTTTCTGTGGGTCACTCTGGCTGCCTTGGTCCATTTGGCCTTCCTTTGCTTGTAGCTTCTCAGGGACACTCCAGGACTGGGAATATGTTCTTATTGCTACTCTCTCTCCCAGTGCTTCTTGGGCAAAGGAAGCCCTAGGTTCAAATCCTGCCTCAGACTCTTCATAGCTGTATGACACTGGGCAAATCGCTTCACTTATCTCAGCCTCACTCAGTTGCCACCTCTGAAACATGGGGATAATAAAATCTACTTCAGAGGGGCATTGTGAGGATCAAGTGGCATGTGGCAAAAGGAGAAGCAAGTCTTCAAATGCTACCGAAATGCAAATGATTCTGATTTCCCTCTTCCTTTTCCACATTTACACTGCCAAAACCTCTCATTCAGATGCCAAGCACTTCAGAAGCCTGCTACCTTGGAGCTTTCTGCAACCCATAGACTGCCCACCCTGCTCCTTTCTCCCCAAAGGCACTGTGTTATAGTGCCAACCAAAAGCCAGGAATAAGACTGGACCATCGGCTCCTGCTCACCATGCACCTTATAATTATGATAATACACCGCTATTGTCATAAAGTGCATGGTGTAATGAACTTATTTGGTTTTTTGAGCAGTTCTGGGAGGGACGCAGTGCAAATATGATCTCCATTTTAATAAGGAGGAAACTGAGGCCCAGAGGTCTGAGACCCACTTGAAGCTGGACAGCTGGCCCAGGGGCCCTTAGTTTTTTAACCTGGAGCTTGTGACTCCAGGCCTAGTCTCATATTTCAATAAGCTCCTCAAGCAGCAGCTGAATCAAGCAAGGCCCAGCATGGATTTCCCCAGCTCACTGCAGGTTCCCCACCTTCACGCTGAGGGGAGAGGCTTGGAGGTGCTCTTAATGCATCCGTGTATACTGTATGGCTATGAAGAGTAATAAAATCTTTTTGCAAGGAAATGCGTATTTGAAAGCAACCTGAAGGTGCTAATTAACAGGAAGGTAGCTTGGTAGGCAAAGGTGCAGAAAGAAAATGGGACAGCACCCTTGGGCCCCAGCTTTACCAGGAAGGATGATCTTGGACATGTCCCCAGCCACAGTTTCCACAACTTTACAGAAGGGCTGGAGGAAGCTGGGTGATCTCCCAGGGACCTCCCCTTCCTTATCACCATCATCTTCTAGTCTGGGCTCAAGTGCCCTGTGGCCCATCCTCTCTCTGGCTGAACTGAAGAGCCTGGAGCTGGAGCCAGAGGCTTTCCCCTTTGCCTTCCCAAGGCTTAGGCCTGGCTTTGCAGCACTAGAAAGAGGAACCAATGTCTGAGACACCTTAGGTCTTCTCTCATATGGCCTGGGCCTCTTGGGGGTCAGAAAGCCCAGGAATTGTGGGGTTGGCAAAAGCTCCAGGAAGTTGGGGTACATGGACTGACCTCCATCATTGTGGTGAGGAAGTGGGTCAGCAGGCTCTGGGGACAGCTGCTCTGGCACTAGAGCTCAGGACAGTGACATTGGACATGGGGTGAGATGCTGTTTGTCTAAGGGGTGTGGGAAGCTAGAGCTCTGAGAGGTGGTGCCTTCCTTCCTCTATCATCCTCCCTCTTTCCTTTCTCTTTCTCTCTCTCTTTCCTCCTTCCCTCCCTCTTTTCTTTCCTTCCTCCTGCCTTCCCTCCCTTTCCTCCTTTCTCCCTTGGGGCTATAAGACCCAGCACCTTCAGTGAGGGGGTGGGGGGCACGTGCCCGACCTCGCTCCCACATTTCCTCCTCTGCTCTGGGTTTGCAGAGGTCATCCGAGTTGAGCAAAGACTCTCACCCACGGGAATGGGGCAGGAATCAGGGGGTTGTGGATCAAGCAAGACTTCAAGGCCCAGGCACAGGGGGACTGAAAGTGTCCCACCTCACGGCTCCCCAAGGCAGGGCACCCCAGAAGTCAGAGGCGATGAACCTTAGAGATTTGTTGGAGGTGGAACTGAACTTAGTGCACCATTTTGCCAATGAGGAAACTGAGGCACCGAGTGCGGGAATGAATGCCAGCCCAGTGCTGAGGTCACAGTGACCTTGGGTAGGGTTCAGAAGGAGAAGAAGGGCTCTGGCTCCCTGACTTCCTGCAGCTAATGTTGGGGTGCAATGGCTTGGCACCACCCCACCCTTCCACGTTCCCCACTTGGGTGTGCTCCCCGACTCTGAGCCATGGATGGCCTGGAGGGCCATCTCTCCCTATCAACATGGGGTTGGGGGGAGGTGTCTTTTCTGCCACCCCTCCCGTGGGCACGGTCGGCTGAGAATGGCAGCTCCGTTCCTGGTACACAGTAGGCCCTCAATCTGTGCACGGCCCCCTCGGGGAGGAGGGGCGCACCTCAGTTTCCCCAACCATCTAACCGCAAGGGAGACTCCTGCCTCTGGCCCTTGGACTCGCGTCCAGACCCTCTTCCTGCTCGTGCCTCAGTTTCTCGTCCACAGCCTGGGCACACGTTGGGCATCCTTAGGTCCAGGCATCCCCCGCTCGTGGAGGCCCTTACTATGGGCGGGCCCGCGGGGAGGCCAGCCAGGGGTGGTGGAGGGAGCTGCGTTCCTCCCTCCGTTCCCCCAATCTCTCTCGCTAGTCCTCTGCACTGAGGCCAGGCGGGAAGGACGCGGACTACAACTCCCAGCAGCCCGCACGCGGCAAGCCCCGCCCCGAGCGCGCAGAGCCCACCTGGAGCGGCCTCCACCGTGGGGTTCGGGTCGGGGGCGGGGCTTCCTCCTCCCCTCCTGGGATGGGGCCCGCGTCCGAGCGCGGCTGCTCCTCCATGGGCACGCGAGGCGAAGCCCAGCTCCGGCTCCGGGTCCGAGTCCGGGGCGTCGCGGGGTTGGAGGCTGGAGTGCGGCGGCGTCGGAGCTGGCGGCGGAGTGGGGCTGGAGGCCGGGCCCAGGTGTGGGAGGGTGAGCCTAGGGGGAGGGTAGGGGAGGAGGGGGCGGGGCCGGAGGGGGTGGAGAGGGGAGCTAGCTGGTGGGGGAGGGCTTTCTTTATGAGAGTTCAGGGGAGGGGGGGACACCTGAAATTTCATGGCTGGGGAAGGGCGTGCCCCCCCCCCGCCAGTTCTGTGGCCCAAAGGAGGGGATTCACCTGTCTCCGCAGTCCCCTGGGAGGTCGGGATCCCACTCCTGGTCCTCCCTGGGATGTGGGCTCCCTTTCGGGGTCTTTCCCAGGTCCTGTGCATCCATGTAGTCTGTCGGTCTCTGCCCAGGCTGCACTGGGAGCATCTTGAGGGCAGGCACTGCTTTGGCCCCTGACACACAGTTGGTGCTCAGTCAGGCCAGGTGGTTTGATTGCATGGAGGGTGTTGGCATTTTGTCTGGACTTCTGTTGGGAAAATGAAGCATGTCTGGTATCTGCAGTGTAACAAGTCTCCTTCGTGCACCCTCTCTGTGTCCCAGAAAAATCTGTCCTAGAGTCCATGAGCCTCTTTTTGTGACTCGGGCTTTCTTTGCTTTTCAACCTGTGTGTGTGTGGTGGCACACTTTTTTCAGGGCCTCAGCACACTGGGGAGTAAGAGGAGCTGACCTGCTCCTTGCTCCCTGGCCCCTCTCATCCCACCTTTCCCATCTCTCCAGGCTCTTTCCCTCCTGCCTACAAATAGGCCCATGTCTCCCTCATCCTGAACAAATCCTCACTGGATGCTTCCATCCCTGCTAACTCTGATCCTACAATCTCTTCTGCCTTTTGTGGTGAAACTCCTGAAAAAGCCAGTCTACACCAGCTGCCTCCACTGTCTCTCCTCTCATTCTCTTCTTAAGCCCTTACATTCTGGCTTGTGACCCCATCATTCCACCCAAACTTCCCTGTCCACGGTGATGGATGATCTCTTAGTGGCCAAGTTCAGTGTCTTTTCCTAGTCCTCCTTCTTCTTGACTTCTCTGTAGCCTGGACACAGTGGATCCTCTTTTCTCCTGGATACTCCCATCCCTTTAGAGTTCTGGTCACCACACTCCGTCTCCTGGTTCTCCTCCTCACTCTCTGACAGCTCCTGCTCTGCCTCCTTTGCTGGATCCTCCTCCTGATCATGCCTTCTAACCACAGGCGTCCCTCAGGTTCTATCCTGGGCCTGGGCCTCCTTCTTCTGAACTACTTCGCTTGGGGATCTCCTCAGCTGCCATGGATTTAATGACCTTCTCTATGCATATAATTCTCAGATCGACCTTTCCTGCCCCAAACTCTCAGCTGAGCTCCAATCACCCCTCTCCAGCTGCCTTTCAGATATCTCAAAGTGGATGTCCAGCAGATGTCTTAAATGCAGTATGTCCAAAGTGTAGCTCATTATCTTTCCACTAAGCCCTCCTACCTTCCTTATCACTAGGAGGGCAGCACCATCCTCCAGTTGCTCAGACTCACAACTGGGGCATCATCCTGGATCTTCACTCTCTGTCCCCTCCCTGCCTCCCAGACCCAATGTGGTGTAAGGGTCTGTTGATGTCAGCCCTGCAACATCTCTCGATTATGCCCCCTTCTCTCCTCTGACCCTGCCCCTGTCCTGTTACAGGCCCCCATCACCTCCTGCCTGGAGTATTGCAATGGCTGCTGGGGGATCTGCCTGCCTCAGTCTCTCCAAAGTGATTTTCCAAAAGTGCAGGTCTGACCATGTCACTCCCCTACTCAGTAAACTCCAGTGGCTCCTTGTGGCCTCCGGGATCGAATACAAAATGCTCTGTTTGACATTCAGAGCCCTTCATTACCTGCTCCCTCCTCCTTTTCCAGCCTCTTTCCACCTTCCTCCCCGCCGTGTCCTCTTCTATCCAGTGCCCCAGCTTTCCAGCTGCCCCATGAACAATCCCCTCCATCTCTGTCTCTGGGCATTCTCTCTGGCCATCTGCCAGGCCTGGAACACTCTCCTTTCTAAGCCCTGCTCACTGAGCTCCCTGGCTTCCTACAAATCCCAGCTGACATCCCACTTTTTCTAGGAAGCCTTTCCCAGCCGTACGAATTCCAGGGCTTTCCCTCTGTTCATCATTTCCTATTTATCCTGTACAGAGTCAAGGTCTAGTTGCAAGCTTGCTGAGCGAGGTCAGAGTGTATTTTTTAAATTTATTGATCACAGCTCTCTGAGATAGTCTGAGGCTCTGGTAGCTGTCTTAAGTGGTTTCTTAATTGCCTTTTTATCAATCCTCATTTTCCTCAACCTCTCCTTGGCCTCACCTCAACCAACCTCACCTCTGCAGCATCTCTTCTCTGTTTCCCTTCTGCAGCATCTCTGGTCTATTTCACCTCTGTACCATCTCTCCAAAATGCCCCCTTTTCTCCTCTGATTTTGCTCCCACTCTAGTGCAGATCCTCATCACTTTACTCCT